CTCTCTTTTTTCTTCTTCCGCTTCCTAGCCTCCCGCAAGGTTTCTTCACAAGAGCAAGAAAACTGATTTACAGGCATCAGGCGGCAGTATTGACACATGGGCAATGAAAAGCGTTGTAATGTCTTTATTTTGTGGAAAATTGTTGAGGTATAAAAGTATTGTTTTAAGTATAGATGAACGAATCATGGCGCTAAAAATACGAGTTGCGGTGACGGTGTTTCGTTGACTTTTCTTGCGGTACTGCGGTGTTCGTTAATTTTTTTTTGCGGTGTTGCGGTGTTCAGACCCCCCCTCCCCCCATGTCCCCCTCCTAGTACAGAAAACACTCTAACTCAGTCCTATTCAATTAGCCTGTTGATTGCTTAATTTTTCAAACACCTCCTCTGTATATTGTTTTTACCTGATGATATGTGAACAGTTACAGTATAGCATGTGTAGCAATATATTGCCCCCAAGTATAACAAAAGGTCTCGGCAAGAAGACTTAGTATTAATTTCCATCTTGAAACTGAAAGTGCTTCGCTCAATTGTGAGTTACCTTCAGTTAATTTCCGAAAGCGCTGTGCTCAGTTGTGTGTTTCCTTCAGTTATATGAAAAAAGGAAACTACAGATAGATAGGCTAAAGAGAGACTAAAGAGAAAACTGCTGATAAATATGACAAAGATAGACACATGATTCTGCCCTCCGTAAAAACTGTAACAAAACTCTCCAATCTGATTGGTTACCTGAATTCCCCATTTAAGCGTTAATGGTATCTAACGACACTCTCGATTCTGATTGGTTCTCTGCGCGCTTATATGTAACGTTATCTGCTGGAGCCCAATCTCGTGGGTGTCTTATTAATTATCAAAGAACAATGTTTCGCAATTGATATCTGTAATTGGACATCTACGTTATTCACGCCTCAATTACGAACGCTTTTAATGGCTTTCTTACAATAAAATATTTTATTAATTCCTAGATTTTCCAGAATTAATTTACATATTGTCAAGAATAGTCTTAAAATTACATTAAATGTTTAATAAATGAAATAACAAGCATGGTACGAACCTTGAAGGAAAATTGAAAAAGGTTCGAGTAATCGAGTTATCGAGAATTTGGGTTATCGGGAGTTGAAAACAAATAACCGTAAATAAGGAAACCACCATGTTTACTGTATTCAGTACTATTCATACAGTGTACGTTTTAATCAAATTTGATTACAAAGAAGTCTAGTGAAAATGGAGCAATAATTTTGTAAATTATGGTATAAATCAGAACGTACTAAGGTAATGGGAAACGAAAATATAGCAAAGCAAAGCAGCAGGAAAAGTCCAGGTTCTGCGAACTTTGCAATGTTTCTGATGTTAGATTTAGCCTATCAGCGTTCAACGCTAGGGGTAAAACTGCAAACTCCTGATGTCACATTCTAGGCAAGAAAGACATATAACAGTGGCCAGTTTTAATTCTCTTTAGGACCAAATTGAAGGTTCACGATAACAGATTTTGAATGCCATAAAACATAACATATTAAAAGAAATGAAATACTTGGTTGAAATTATTTTGACAGTAAACTTAAAATAAGCGGTCTGCATCTTGCTCGCCAGGTGTCGTCAAGTATGCTAAAAGTTGCACCATCCCATACAAAATAATTTAGTGGTCTTTAAATTGAGCGCAGGGTCATTGAGTTACTTATTGATGGGCGCTAAGCCAACCTTACACGTACTCTTGTCTTTATTTTTGTCTATTACATATGGACGGACCATTAGCAAAATGACGGGAAAAAAAACAAAAACAAAAAAATAATATAAGGGAGGGTGACTGAAAAAAAAAACAAACAAAACAAAAACAAAAAAAATCGCGCAAAGAAGAAGCGAAGAAAAAAAATTCCTGCAGAGTGAATTGCACCGTCGGGCTTATAAACTGTATTAGCTTGAAGGGCAACTTGGCAGTCACTCTATACTGCAGATTTAATTTCTTGGTCGTGGTTTTCTCTACAGTTAGGAAAACGGACATTTTTCCCTCTCAAGGCTGATACATTTTGTGCGCAACAACCTCATCATAGACACATGAAGCCAAACATCCTTGCAGAAAAACCCTTATGGATAACCATGGCTTAAGAGTGATTAAAACCATGTGCTATAAACAGCCATCCTGCTTGGTTCGTTTGCAATTAAGGAAACATATACCGTGTTTTAAAAGCCTCGACATATATATAGAAGTGATTTCACAACTGACACGTATAAATGACGATTGTGGACACAGATGTGCACACCCATGGCGAACCATAACACTTCCCCTAAGATGGCCGCTAACATCAACGTTGGACAAACGTCGTAATCAAAGACAATCACATGTGGAGGTGTTTGATAACACAACTGATGTG